CTTTTCGTCCCATTGAGCTGCGACACTTACTTTGCTCCATGCGCCGTCGCACGCTCGAACCTTTTCTTAGCAACTTTTCATGTTCTCCTTTTTATCACCCGCCATTTTGAAAAAATATCGTTGCGCACAATTTCGATAGATCTTTCGAAAAGTACGGTTTCAAAGCTTTCAAACCGTTTTTGAAATTTGCTGCTAGGATATTTAGGTGTCGAGATATTCAATTTCGAATTTGCAACAAATGTCGATTCAGCGAGGCTTAAGGGGCTAAGAGGCTCTGCGGTTCGTTTGGCTCTTTCATAATTTCAATAGCTGTGTTCATGTTTCTCTATATAATAATTTACATAACCTGCACAATATATTCAATGATTTGCATTTATTATTTTGAAAGCCAGGGAAATGAAAGTAAAATTCAATTTAGGTTCTTCATTTTGCGTAATCGATATTACGTAATAAAGATGAATTGCGTTTTAAGATACCGCTGTCATTAGCTCAAATTATGGTTGTAAGTCTTCCCAATATAAACCGCATGGAGTTTTGCTGGTAGGAAAAGTCCCATTGTATGTAGTGTGTGTGTGTGTGTTTGTATACCACAAGGATAAGGACCCCGTGGTTCGTCAGCTCCACAGTATTTCAAGATTTCACACCCTCCTTGTGGTGTGTGTGTGTGTGTGTGTGTGTGTGTGTGTGTGTGTGTGTGTGTGGTGTTACAGCAGAGATAAGGACCCCGCAGTTCGTCACTCCTGCAGTAATTAATGACTCCAAACCCTCTCTGCTGTGTGTGTGGTGTGTGTGTACTAATAGTGGGTATGATTGCCTCGTGCGCGTATTACCTCATTCATACGATCAGGCATACTCCTTATTAGTCTTTTAATTTCATCCTGCGTAATTGTATTCCATTCGTTTTCGAGAATTATTCGCAGTTCTCGCAGTGACTGAGGAGCAGGTATGTGATTTCGTACTTTCCTGCCGAGGTTGTCCCATAAGTGTTCGATTGGATTTAAATCTGGACTATTTGTTGGCCAATCGAGTCGATTTATGCCAACTTCATCGAAGAAATCAAGCACTCTTCTCGCAGTGTGTGGTCGAGCATTGTTTTGCATAAACAAGAAGTTCTCTCCGATGGAGGGTGCGTACGGAACAACATACGGAATGAGTATGTCTTCCACGTATACATCTGCGTTCATATTCTTGTCAAAAAAGTGCAGATCTGTATGAGCATTAGCTGAAATTCCTGCCCAAATCATTACAGAGTACACTCCATTGTAGCTATGCCTCTCACTTACCGTACAGTCTGCAAATCGTTCTCCACCGCGACGATAAACTCGTTCTCGTCCATCTGGAGAATAGACACAAAAACGAGATTCATCGCTAAAGAGTACTTTGCTCCAGTCTGCGTAAGTCCAGTCTCTATGCTCAACTGCAAAATTGAGTCGAGCTACGCGATGGTGACATTTAAGCAAAGGTACAGCTGCTGGCCTGCGCGAAAGCAGATTTTGTTCCTTTAATCTTCTCCGAACGGTGTTAACGGATACATTAATGTTGCGGACATCCCTTAAATTGTTTCTAATTTGAACAGATGTTCGATGTCTGTCTCTTAACGAATTTGAATCAATAAATCGGTCATCATTGTGATTGGTACATCGAGGACGTCCCGAACCAGGCCTTCTATGGAAAGAATTGGTTTGTAAGTACCTGGCATAAGCACGTTGCACAGTTGACACTGACAAATCAAGTGCCTGAGCAACGTACCTTCGACTTCTGCCATCTTCAATTAAAGCAATAACTTGAGCAGCCTTTTCAGGATTTATCGTCGCCATAATCGACGCAATAATTTCGATGCGAAACAATCAATTATGGTTTAAATTGATGAAGTTGCACGAAGCAACGCGCCTCGAAAGGAAAAGATCACGGAAAAAGAAAAGTCGCACGAGGCAGCGCTTATCAGAGTGAACACGTTCGGAAAAGGAAAATTGTTTGTCTTTGTTTATTGTCTTGGCACATACATTTAAGAAAAATCCAGTCAAGCCAGGCGTTAAAGCCCGGCGCACCGACAGAATCTCAGTCAAGCCAGAACGTAAGCCCGGCGTACTGACAAACTCGCGAAGTCCAGCGTACAAGAGATAGTGCCACTATCGGCGGTGGACCATACGAAGGCCAAAAACTGTACGAAGGCAATCTCTGATCGTCTCCGCGGGCACTCTTATATGCCCTGGGCAGCTCGAACTCGCGTGCGAGCCGAGGGGCTCGTGCGCGCGACAACCCAGATCGCCGCGTCGCAGCGGCTCCGTGGATTAGGAGCGCCAGGGAATTTCGACGTTCAGGTGGCGTCCAGCGACTCGGCATCTCGCGCGCCGGGTCACCGCGAACTCAGGCACCATCCTGAACAGTATATTCAAGCTGTGTACCATAATGGCCAATCGTACGGAGAAGGTAGAGAGCTAGGGACAGCTTCGCGAACTAAAGTGTATACCACAGTGATCATGCGTAACTGAAGGGTAAAGAATATCTTTTGATAAAAATTAAATTTCCAATTGGCAAAATTGTGTAAATTATTGTATAGAGAATAATGAACGCGGCTATTGAAATTATGAAAGAGCCAAACGAACCGCAAAGCTTCTTAGCCCCTTAAGCCTCGCTGAATCGATATTTGTTGCAAATTCGAAATTGAATATCTCGGCACCTAAATATCCTAGCAGCAAATTTCAAAAACGGTTTGAAAGCTTTGAAACCGTACTTTTCGAAAGATCTATCGAAATTGTGCGCAACGATATTTTTTCAAAATGGCGGGTGATAAAAAGGAGAACATGAAAAGTTGCTAAAAAAAAGGTTCGAGCGTGCGACGTCGCATGGAGCAAAGTAAGTGTCGCAGCTCAATGGAACAAAAAGTACCTAAAAGTATAGAATGTTTTCTTTAAAATACTTCGTTATAGAGCTTGATGCGATACTTATTCACTGAATTATGCAAATTTAACAAGAAAACTGCATTTTTAGCAGAATTTGGAACAACTCAGTGAAAAATGATCACATCGAGCTCGGTAAAGTAGCATTTTAAAGATAACATTCTATACTTTCATGTGCATTTGGTCCCATTACGCTGCGATACCTGATGCACACCATGCACCATCGCAAACACGGACCTTTGATTATCAATTTTGCATCCTCTCACTTTATCATCCGCCATTTTGAAAGAAATGGCCGAGCATAATTGCCATTCAGATATTCTTAAAGAGGACGTTTCAAGCTTCATTTTGCATTTCTGCGCATATTTGTATCTTCTTTATTTACCAAGTTATGATCATTTGAAATTTTGTAATTTTTTCCCAAATTTTTAGTGTACCGGGTTTTTTGCGTTTGAGTGTATGTCGTCGATAATTTCTTCGAATACATCTCCATTTAAAATACAAATATTATGCGCAATACATGCGGATACGACTAATAAACATATTAAATTGAGCCTAACTGTTTCAAGATATTTTAAATGTCTAAATCTTCCTTTTAAACATGCGTAAGCATTTTCTATTACTATACGACATTGTGATATCAATTTATTGAAATTTTTTGTCGGTTATTTAGTCTACCTGTATCTTTAAAGCCAACTAAAAGATATGGTAATAACTTATGGGCTAAGTCTCCCACTAAATGACTATCGTTAGGAAACTGAATAGATAAATTTTGTATCCCTGCATATAAATCAGATTTTTTAAATAATCTCATATCATGAATAGAACCAGGTTGTCCAACATAGACATCTAGAAATACTTTATCACTGTTGCATACTCCTTGTAGAAGTATGGAATGAACGTTTTTCCTGTTACAGTAAGAATTTGGATTATGTTTTGGTTTCAAAATATTAATATGACACCCACCCATAGCTTCAATAATTTCTGAAATAGAATTTAAGTTTTAAAAATTGATATAATCAGAAAGGAATTATAAAGAGAAATTTTTTTTTCTTACTAGGGAAGCCATTAATTATTTTTAGGGCACGTTCTCTATCTGGCCACGATATAATCTTATATCTAATATTAACTTGTAACAGACTGTTACATGTTTTGTAGAGTATACTCCAACAGGTACTTTTGCTAATATCAAAACGATCAGCCACTGAACTAAAAAAGAATGAGAAAATTAAGAAATATTTTTTATATTATGATAGTTATAGTTTGTTTTATATCTGATATTAGCGTGCATATACAATTAATATGATATATAGTTTTAACATATTTACCGAAAAGACTCAATATTAGATAAATATCAAAGGGTAACTATTAATTGTTTTTCCAGTGGAACCGGTTTGCAGTCAACATTTGTTTGGTCTTTACTATTGCTTTCATTATGTAATTTTGTGATTAATAATTCGAATGTAGAAGTTGTTATTCGAAAATGCATTTTAAATACTTTGTCTGAGAAACGTGGTACAATTTTTTCTGCATAATTTAAAACTTTTGGTTGTGCATTTCTATCTTCATCATTGGTATCATCTTGAAACAAATTGTCCCACAACAAATGCAAAACTTATAATGAAACCTCCCAGGTAGCAAGCAGACGTTATTTTGACGTTAAAAACTGGTCACTTTTAGTCATATGTCGTCAAAATGTCGTCAAAATGACCAATTTATATACGGTCATTTACATGACTTCTAATTGACGTCAAAATGCTATACCACTTTGACGTTATATTTCAGTCATGAACTGACGATAATTGCGTACTAATATAATTATTTATAACGTTGATTCCGTAATAACAATTCTTTAAAATTTCGTATCAGATTTTCGATAAGTATTAAAAAAGGTTTGTTTATATATAAATATATTAATATATAAATATATAATATATATATAAATATATAATATATATATAAATATATTTATATATTTTATATATAAATATATTTGGCATATTCCTTTAGAACGAAAAATGTACATCAATCAAATGCAAGAACTCACTTAGCGTTCAGTAAGCGCTTGTAGTACTGAATGCACCCATTGGTCGTGCTGGCTTCGCATGTTCCGTTCTCCATGGGACGTCGACTTTAAGCACTCGACGTGGAAAAGTGCAAATGGCGATCAGTGAAATATCTCTCTCGTTCGCTCATTCGCAAATTATTTACTGTGTTAGTGCATATGTACATGTAGCTTGTGCTTATACAGCTCAATACGGTTAATGTAAAGGCTGAGTACTGAATGTAAGTACCTATTAAATGTGTATTTTATCATTAACCTTGAAAACACGTCATGGACAGTGATGGGAATCATAACCTTTTGACACATCTATGCACAGATACTTTTCAATCTGTGGGGAGGGAGAAGCTCGATTACATTCAGTTTATCGTAAAAATATTGCTATTTATATCGCACGATAAACTGATTGTAGGCTGAGCACACAGATAGAAAAGTCTCTGTGGCGTAAGTGTGCCAAAAGGCCAAGCCCCACAAAAACATACGTGGATTCCATGTGGAATGCACGTTGTATTCACGTGAAATCCACAAAATCACATGGATTTCACGTAGACACAACGTTCTTGTTTTCGTGGGGGAGATTTCCATCACTGGTCATGCCCAATGAAAAGGGGACGTGAAATCTAGGTAGATTTACGTTAATAGTTTACTTAGGTTAAATACGTCCAATGCAAGTTAAAATAAAATTAATCTGAAGTAACTTATTTGCAACTTTGTTAATATAGTTTCACAATGTCTTGTGGGTATTCAATTTGTCAGCAATACTCATGAAGAAGGTACAATTGCATTGATTTATCGATCATGGTTTACGCCTCTGAAAAGTCAAGTCTGGTGGCCTCCATACAAGACTAGTGTTCAATTTAAAAAAGCACTTGTTTACTGAAGAACAAGTAAACGAAAATACATGGGCATTGTATGAGGTGAAACGTATATTTTTTACTTGTGGTATGTATTTTATGTATAACATTATACTCGTTTGTTATTTGTACAGTAATATAAATATATTTTAAAGTATTGTTATTTATATATAGATGAATTTGATAAGGCCTTTGAAAAACTAAAAGAATGTGAAGAAGTGTCTGATTTACAATCTACTGAAGTAGAAGATGACGTACAAAGTAAGAAAACGCAAACCAAATTTAAAATATGTCATAAGTAGTGAAGACGAATACGATGAAAACTGTGATTCTCTACAGCCATCAGCAAAACTTGATAAATCAGGTGAGACAAACATAATTTACATTTATAAGGATAAGAATATTATCATTGTTTTTCCCTTCATTTATTCTTGTACTATGTTACAATATAATAAAATATTATGCGCGTTTCATGTTTCATGTTTATAAAAACATATCCTTTTTTAAGTACAATTGAAAAATGGACCTTGCAAAACACAACGTAGGTACGTTGCAGATAAAAATTATGAAAATAGGAAATAAATGTATTGTCATCAATTACGTATTTATTTTGAGAATCTCTTGATTCTGATTTTTTTGTGAAATTTTTGTTTGTGTTTACAGAGATTGTGTATTACAAGAAATACCTACTAATTCTTTTGCAAGTTACACAAATAACGATGCATCTATAATTGCTCCAACTATTAACACTAGAACAAAAGTTACTAATTCTACGCTTATAAATAAAAATGAAAATTATACGAAGCAGGTTGCAGAAAAAGGTAAGCGTCATTGCTTAATATATATGTTGTTCGCACTTTGAGTGAATTAAAAGCATGGCTTGTTAATCTCATTGACAGTAAATGTATTCTATTGCCTTATACTAACGATAACAATTGTTACGTATGCTTACCAATCGTACATGGTTTGGACTAATGTATTAGTTCAAATATCCTCTAATATGAGTTTTTTTTGTTATATTCCATTTAATTTACGAAAGTGTGATAATTGAAGAAATGATTTTAGTTATACTGTCAAAAATTACATATATTCTATTTCTATTTGATTCTATAATAATATATTATATATTATGTAAATAAGAGCTTTTATGTTTCAATAAAAAAATTAATGATCTGATGTATATGTCTATGTTTGTACTATATTTGCGTCTTCATTATGTCCTAAATATATCATCTTGCTGCCTGTATGCTGATAAATACGTCCAAAGATCCATTTATGACGTCAAAATACGGTCCTTCTATGACGTCAAAAAACGGTCCTTGCATGACGTCAATATTTTGGGACATTCGACCGTCTTTTGGACATCATAACGATGTCAATCCCTGACGTCAAGTTTAGACAGCAAATAACTAATTTTCGACGTCATAATGACGTCTGTTTGCTACCTGGGCTATTATCTTATCCTACATATTTTTCTGTATACTGTAATCCACATATTTTTATTTATTATTCATATTGTAAAATTATTTAATTGAAATATACTAGTATTCTTACGCACTTACTGCCACTTATAATACCTGGATATTGATATTTACATTTTATTTTGAGGTCAAAATTAATAAGTGACAGCTTCTGGTTCTGGTTCAATAAGTGGCTCTGGGCTGAGCTGTTAAGCGTAGTCTAGAATGACAGTAAGCAGTAAGAAGTAAGCGTAAGCGGTAAGAAATAAACCAATCACAGTCGATTATGACAAAAATAATTAACTGTGGTTGGTCCATTTCTTACTGTTCACGCTTTCTTCTTACTCCTTACGGCCATTGTAGCCCACGCTTTACACGCTTCCCCTACGCCAGTCAACGATTATGAAGGTAAAAGAAACAGGGATCACGCGTCCGCGTGCCCCATGATCAAAAAATATGCGTTGGAACTACATTCAACCACCACGGAGGCGAACAAGACTCAAATGACAGCTCCGAGTCCTCGGGATCGTTCGACATTTACTTTTATGCTCGGTTTGCTCGAAGGTCACGTGATGCATGCTCGCCATCTGCTAGTTCGCATCTCAGATATGTAATGCCGAACGCACCTACTGTAGTTCCCGGCTACAAATGGGCAACAAATGGGCGCAGATGGCGATAAAATCAGTCGTGAAAATTCAAACACCAAAAACGCCGGCGTGACCGCTCTCAAGCTTCTCTCTGACTATAGTCTGTTTTAGTAGCTCGAATATAAACCAGACTCAAATCACAGACACAAATCTCGTATCGTTACCGAAACATCGAGTTAGTTGACGTCTATTTTCTCAGGGGGCGTATCAGGACATTTGTTTTCGCTCGGTGCCGCTCTCAGGTTTCTCTCTGTATCCATCATCGGTTCTGAGTCTTTTGTTCGCCTCTGTGGCGGTTGGATGTGGTTCTTGTAACTACGCATAATTTTTTGATCGTGGGGACTGCGTACGCGCTGTCCCTGTTTTTCTTTTTACATCATACTACTGGGAAATGGCGTATGGACATTGCTGTTTGCAGTCCGGAGCCATATAAAGAACTGAACTGAACTATCATCCGTTCCTTGAGGAATACTACATGATTTGCACTCGTATACGGTGACGACAAAACAAACAAAAAGAGTGCACGAGGAAGTGCATTATCGAAGATTGTTCAGGGAGATGGGAGAAATAATGAAAGTGACGCGAAACATGAGTTCGCAAGTTGACACGAGAACAGGTGAAGCATGATTAATTGTTCTGCTGTTTTTTTGCAAAGAATGCGAGTCAGGAAGCAATGCATCTATATGCGTACACAATTTTGTATGCATATTGAATATGATGCGATGCACTTTTATAATGATATTTAAAAAACACATGTACATATGTACATATCATAGAGAAAAAAATTACTTCGACAAATTTTGCAACAAATTTGCATAACCTACTATATAATTTATAAATTTTAAATATTGTCAAATTTTAATTTTGTGTATTGCAATCTTATTTTCTTTTCTCTTTAAGTATGATGCTCTTTCTTCCTGAATATAAATCTTAATTTTATTCTTAATTTTAATCTATTTACAATTAAATGTTTATTCATACTCGTATCATAGTAGCATTTGAAACAGCAAGTGAGAAAGCTTCAACTAGGAGAACATTGTTAACTGTTGGGTTGATCTTTATAGTCTCACTGACTGCATTATTTTATGTATATATGAGCTTCCCAGAATTAGAAGAGTAAGTCCAAAAGTTTGATATATATTTTTACATTAATATGTTTGTGTATCTCATATAAAATATATATTTAGTTTTATATCAAATATGAGGAATGTACAGATTATTTGTATATTTTACAGAGATGAAAAACAACATATGAAACTACCACTTCATATAGAGGATGCTAAAAATCTTGGGAAATTGTTAGGACGATATAAAGATCTCTATTATTTTCAAGTATTGGCTGGTGTATTTGTCACTTATATCTTGTATCCTTGAATATATCACATGCTCATGTTTCTTTGCTATCAAATATTTCCTACTACAATGTGCTCATTCATAACAATTGTTAGATGTATTAGATGGTAACTTTCTATCAAATTCTAAATAACTATATCAAGCTGATATGTTATATAGTCAAAAAGATATATTTAATTTAATTTGTGTTAATTTAATATATTATTTATATACATCATTAAGATAAAAATTTAGCATAAAATTAGTAGTAATATATATCTACATGTATATATACATATATATATGTATAAATGTACACATGTGTATATGTATATATATATATATGAAACAATTGGTATGAATAAGATTAATGAAAGATATTCATTATATTCCTTAAAAAAATAATCTATAGCCTGCAAACATTTGCCATTCCTGGTTCTATCTTTCTTTCAATACTATCAGGATTCCTGTTCTGCTTTCCAGTCGCGCTTCTGCTCGTATGTACCTGTAGTGCGATTGGTGCCACCCTGTGTTACATGTTGTCTTCGTTATTGGGCAGGCGACTGTTATACCGATACTTCCCAAGAAAAGCAAAAGAGTGGACAGTAATCGTAAACAAGCATCAGGACAATCTGCTGAACTATATACTGTTTCTCAGGGTAACACCGTTACTACCGAATTGGTTCATCAACTTAGCCAGCCCAGTGATCGGCGTGCCAATGATGCCATTCATTGTCGGTACTTTCTTCGGGGTTGCACCACCCTCTTTTGTGGCTATACAAGCTGGACAGACATTACACAAGTTGACATCATCGAGCGACGCATGGTCGTGGAACAGTATTATCATGCTGTGCATATTTGCTTTGCTTTCACTAGTGCCTGTGTTATATAAACAGAAACTCAAACAGAAGTTTGAGTAGACACGGATTGGACTTCGATACCAGAGGATTCAATATGACATTCCGATATTTCACACAAGCGGAGGAAACCTTTCCTCGACAATCGCACATCGTCGTGAAGCGAAATATCCTATCTATTGAAACTTTAAGGGAGATTTGAGAGAAACATTTGTAAAAATGATGCAAGCAACCAGTGAATATGGAAAGCTGTTCTGTGAATCCGCTTTTTTGCGTCCTACGCTGAAATTATTTGCATTTGTGTACAGTTATACGTACGAGGTAGTATATTGAATTTCCACAAGCACAATTTGCGTATAACTTATTTATTGTTATCGTTGTTCATTTCTATATATCTTCTACTTTAATTGCGAATATCGTTTAGAAAGAAAATTATTTAAATTAAAAGTAAACAAAACTGAATTGAGAAATTAACTCTAAGAATTATTAACTAATGAGAAAAAAACTGCAGACAAAATAAAATATAAAACTTCATATAAACATAATTTATACATGTGTACATTATTGTTTTGGATTATGAATATTTCTATTAGGAATGTTAACAAAACGATGTTAGATAACTGATAGAGAGATCAGTAGCATTGTATACAGGCAGACTCACAGGTCTCCAATACCACCAATTGTACCATACTTAAAGATATAAATGAAAAAAAAAAGGAAACATTAATATGTCAATAAAAATTAAGAAAAACTTATGTTGTATTAATTAATTATACTCACATGTATGCCCAGCAGACAATAGAATGGTAGATGATCTACAATGTTGTATGCATTCTGAACTTGGCATCATTCTTATCAGTCTTGCACCAGCTGTGCATCGTATCACAATATTGCTACATTCAGGACTAGGCTAAAGATATAAATAAAAGAAACTATTACATTAAGAATTGTTACATTCACAAATAATAAACATTGGCTTTAGTTAAATTGCTTAATAGGTTGATTTGTATACTTGAGAACCTAAGTGATTTTTGTCTTCATATACGAATGAATTATTTTTCACTCTGAATCATGATAACAAAAATATTTCTATTTTCCTACCAATACATAAGATGGTGATTTTGATTCATCAATAAAAACAAATTTCTCTATGCCTTGACTCCACCAATTTGGAATCTCAGTTGGCTTTGGAAATAGTCTTCGTAGTATTCTGTTTGGCTTCATGCGATTTATCTTCCATAATATATGAGTGGTAAGTGAATTAGTTGGATACATATCTAGTCTATCAACCATGATGTCATGTATGGTTCTAAATAAATATTTAATGCATATTTAACTTATATTCAATAGCAATATTAGTACAGTTTATGCATTCTTTCTGTAAATTAAAGATTTTGTTTTAACATTAGTTAGGAAAATTATGTATAAGAACTTACTTGAAAGATTCATTATTAGAGATGATTTTTTCAGCATCTTGATCAAAGATATCATAGTTATTCCAATATATATTAACTAGATCATTCATCTTAATTTCTGTATTATTTTCAGCTTTAGTGTATGGTATACCGACATTGAAAGATTTACTGATATTGTGACCAGTTAAATCTGGTACAGAATAAACTACAGTACATGCCAAACAATCCATATCATTTACATAGAAATATGGATTTTCTATCAAGCACCATTCATCATATAATTCTAAAATATTACATATATTAATCATAAAAGTACTTCAAAACTATATTGAAATATTGGCTTGTAATATTTTAATTTTTTATTATATTTACAAACCAGATAATGATGGATATAAACTCATAACAGGCACAGCCACTTTGCGTAAAATATATAAACTAGGATAAATGGAATTCTGACAAAGTCTGACGAGTATATCACTCAACCATTTTTGACTGCATAAAGTTAGCAATATGAATGAAGCGAAAATGAGTAAACAAGAAAGTTTCAACAAATTCGCCAGTGTGCTTGGCTTTCTTGAATATTTCGTCTCTAATTGCTGGAAACATGTTCGAAATATGTCTGTGGTTTGAATTTCTGAAACGTTATGGTCGAGTGCGTATTGTCTGATTAATCGTATACGTTCCGTATACTCATCTAAATTGATCATAATTACGAAGTTTTTGACAGCTCTCAGTTTCTTTCTTTCCTTCTATAACTGGCTCTGGGGGAAGTGGATATCTCCATATGCCATTCTTTATGTCGAATAAGAGTGGTAAGAAAAACAAGGATCACGCGTACAAAGACCCAATAGTCAAAAATTAGTTTCGTAGTGACAAAAACCACATTCAACGGCTCCAGAGGCCAACAAAAGACTTAGCAGCTCTTAATTGCGTAAACACTAATTTTATATTAGGGTACGGTCACATGGAGTTCGAAATAGCGGAATGGAAAAACAAACGTAAAAAGTAAATAATTAGGGCCAGAGCACAGACTTCTGCACAACGCATAATACAAAACGCGTAAGAGAATCTACCAATCAGAGTTCCTTATTTCTATCCTGAGGAGGGAAATGAAGAAAACTAATTGGTTTATTCTCTTATGCATTATGTATTATGTATTATGCAAAAGCCTGTGCTCTTGCCCTTGTGGTGCAGTTCCATGAGGGCGGGACATGCGGATTGCGGAATTGGTGGAACGCTCGTGATTGGTTGAATTTATTTTACGTACGGTCGCGGACATAAAGGTTGTCACTTTTTTTTAATGACTTTTGGGACGCATCCCGACTCGAGCAGAGAGAAGCCTGAGAGCGGGCATGGCTGCATTTACAGCGTTATGGAAAAGTTGGCTGATTCGAAGCGCCAACTGGGTCCATTTTTCATGGACATGAACTACTAAGCCAATGTCCACGATTTGTCGGTACTATTCCGTGCTATGTCCATAATTATTTGGTTCTGTTCTGTGCTATGTTCACGAGCGAGCTAGATTAGTTAGATAAAAACGAAGAATCGGTCTTCGTCTCACCACCAGCGAATAAACAATCGCGACGAAGCGAGCCAGCAGCGATGTTATCGTAAGACAGACGTCGCCGTCTCCCCTTTCGCCCCCTTGTTTTCCTTTCCACATTGTTTTATATTCATAATTCGGGAAGAAAATAATTTCGAGAGTTCGGACGATTTCTAGCAATGACGCGACAGAGATAACGCGCGGCCACATTAATTTGTCATGACTTTTATATTACTTATAATTACATAAACGCTCATATATGCAAATTATAGATAATTATTGCGCGTATATTTTAATATTGTACAATATGGCACATAATAACAACTTCATTTCTTGCAGTATTTTTTTAAGATCTTCGTTGAGGTCGTGAATTAATTATTTTCTTCATCAATCAGTTTTCTGCAAAAAATAAGATTTTTTAAATAAAATATTAAATGTTTCTCTTCTCTTCTCTCCGAAGAGTTAATTAAAAAATATGTACTCCACAGAGTCAACTAACAAATGTATAGTCAGAAGAGTCAATTTAAAAGTGTACTCCGAAAAGTCAATTTAATAGCGTATTCCGAAGAGTCAATTTGAAAGCGTATTCTGAAAAATCAAATTAATATTGTAATCCGAAAAGTCAATTTATAATAGAATATTTACTTCGATGATTCAGCTAAAGCAAAAATATTTATTATTATATTCAGAGAATAATATTTAATTTATTATTTATACTTATCTTACTTATGCTTACCCTACATATGCTTCTTTGAATGAAAAATTTAATTTGTTGACTGATTCAGATTCAGATTTGTTAAAATATCTCTTATGCGCAACTCTTGAACAGGTAGGTAGTAAAATAACTTTTTTCTTTACGAATTTTATAAACTTTTCACGAACATGAAAATTGAAAGATTCTCAGAGAACAAATAACTTTTCTTGAACATTTAAACCAAAGGAAAATCTTTTCCCATTAATAAAGAATGAATAATTAATATCTCACACAAGAGGAATCTTCATCCTTGAAATAACCGCGTGATTTTGCTTTTAGAAAAGTATAATATTGATGTAATAGTAACAAATGCTATCCAAAAACGGTGCAAATCTTAAACGTTTTTGAGAAATGCAGTTTGAAGTTTAGTCTTTTCTGTTAATGTCGTTATAGCAGAAGAATTACCAATTTGCTTCAGTAGCGCAGTGGATGAGGCTTTGTGATATGAGCGTAGAGGTTGTTCAAGTGTGTTATTTTTACTATCACAGGGAGAACTATGTAGAATGTATAATAATACGCAGACAAATTCTTTACATAATCATACTTATTTTTTTAGCATAAATAAAAATGATCAATGTTAACGTGATAATCGTGTATATCGCAATTGTACGTGTACGCAATTGTACACACACATACACACGTATACCAATGATGTCAAAACCGAACAATTCGTGAAAATTTTTTATTGATCGCAATTGTACGCAAAGACGAAAGAGAAGTACACTCAGAGGCAGGTATGGTGTCCCTCGGCGATGTCGTATACGCCTGTAAAACAATCGAAACCGATGACAGGCATATACGCATATGCATATGGGCGTACTGTACAGCGCGAGAGAAGCGAAGAAGGAGAAGTGGTGAGAGACGTTCCGATGTTGCATCCTTATCGCACGTCGCACGATCAAGAGAGAAAGCATTACCAGACGTGGTACGATTAATGGTGCCCCCAATAGCTGTCTCACTCTCTCTACGCTTGAATGCAGGCAATAGGAGTGAGACAGCTATAGAGACACCGCGCTGTCTCTATAGGTGTCCTGCTACTGATACTTTAGTTGTTGGGAAAAATAGGTCATCAAATAGTATTTCAGAAACATCTCGCTGTCAACTGTAACACTGTGATAAAAAATGGGATATTCCATTTAAAAAATCATGTTGGCATTGGCCTCGCCTTGACTCCTCTACTCAAGGTCAACCGGATATGATCATTCAATAGAACTTTTAAAACCCTACAACTTTAGTTGGAAACATTTTTCTTAAAAATGTTTCGTTTTCGAGGTATTTGACCGTTTCCAGACTTTTCTAACTAAAGTGATATGGTCCATTATCGATGATTTTATTAAAAAATTTTTCGAACAAACGTTGAACGTGGCTTGAAGGACGACACATAACGGAAATGTGGACTTGACCTTGAGTGAAGTGACCTTGTCAAAATCAGGCCAAGGTCATTAATGTTTTTTTAAATAGAAACTACGATTTTTTATTACATACTCTTGTAGCTTATCTCGAGAGCTTTCCAAAACACTCTAACAAAGTTACATTTCATTGAGTACATTCCGAGTTATAAGGCTTGGAAGTTAAGGCAAGACCGATCACTGATCCGACCAATTAACGCAAGATCAATTCGAATATGTCTTTAGCCGTCAATAAGTCTTGGCCTTAGAAGTACGAAATAAAACCTCCTTGCTTTTATTACAATATCCTGTAAGTTAGCAAATATTCTTCACACATACAAACATAGTATTATTATATTTTTATTGAATAGTGCACTGAACAACTATAACATTGTTCTGAGAGTTTTCTCATTTAGAGCGACGAAACAAATATATTTTATGAATTTTTTTCGCGCAGATAGAAAATTTCACGGATGTAATTGTTTTTGGAGATTATTTAATACCGTATGAAAAATATGTATTATCTTGCAGGATATTGTAATAAAAGCAAAGAGGTTTCATTTCGTACTTCTTGATTCTGTTACAATATTCTTTTATATTTCATACTACATCCTTGTATAACTTAAAATTATTCTTAAAATATTATTAAACAATTCAATAATCAAACCTGTGAACCTGCCCGACTTCGCAAAATAATTAATAAAATATATCTCATTTTCTTGGCGCCGAATATTATCAATACTATTACAAATAATATTACAAATGATATAAATTTTTACAAATAAAATTAGTAAAAATTTGTATTATTTGTAATATTATTATACAATTACAAGTAAAATTACAAATAATAATATTACAAATAATATTATTAATAATAAAATATTATTTGTAATAATTTCGGCGCGCCGAGTAGACAAAACTTTTCAGTATTATCATAGAGAGGAAAAGAGAGAGAGACAGTCGTGCCCGCGATTCAGATTATGGACAAGAAAGAATTAGGCTCGCTCGCTGAGCGAGAACGAGAGCGATAAGGAGGGAATGATATTCTCTCTCTCTCGCTCACTCGGCGCGTCGACAATTGCCGATCGCGTGGCTCACACGGATAGGCCGAGCTGGCTGTGTGCGTGCATGGGGGGGGGGGAGAATCCTCGTGCAAGCCCGTCACCAAATTCGCATCACTGATACCAATGATATCAAAACCGAACAAGCTGCGGACAAGCGTAACTTGTAAATACCGGAGATCAACTGTTTATCAGCTCATAGACAATTAATATGACGAGATACCCACGGAGACCCGTGTACTTCTCTTTCGTCTTTGCGTACAATTGCGATCAATAAAAAATTTTCACGAATTGTTCGGTTTTGACATCAGTGGTATACGTGTGTATGTGTGTGTGTATGTGTACAATTGCGTACACGTACAATTGCGATATACACTTATCACGTTAACATTGATCATTTTTATTCATGCTAAAAAAATAAGTATGATTATGTAAAGAATTTGTCTGCGTATTATTATACATTCTACATAGTTCTCCCTGTGATAGTAAAAATAACACACTTGAACAACCTCTACGCTCATATCACAAAGCCTCATCCACTGCACTACTGAAGCAAATTGGTAATTCTTCTGTTATAACAACATTAACAGAAAAGACTAAACTTCAAACTGCATTTCTCAAAAACGTTTAAGATTTGCACCGTTATTGGGTAGCATTTGTTACTGTTACATCAATATTATACTTTTCTAAAAGCAAAATCACGCGGTTATTTCAAGGATGAAGATTCCTCTTGTGTGAGATATTAATTATTCATTCTTTATTAATGGGAAAAGATTTTCCTTTGATTTAAATGTTCAAGAAAAGTTATTTGTTCTCTGAGAATCTTTCAATTTTCATGTTCGTGAAAAGTTTATAAAATTCGTAAAGAAAAAAGTTATTTTACTACCTACCTGTTCAAGAGTTGCGCATAAGAGATATTTTAACAAATCTGAATCTGAATCAGTCAACAAATTAAATTTTTCATTCAAAGAAGCATATGTAGGGTAAGCATAAGTAAGATAAGTATAAATAATAAATTAACTATTATTCTCTGAATATAATAATAAATATTTTTGCTTTAGCTGAATCATCGAAGTAAATATTCTATTATAAATTGACTTTTCGGATTACAATATTAATTTGATTTTTCAGAATACGCTTTCAAATTGACTCTTCGGAATACGCTATTAAATTGACTTTTCGGAGTACACTTTTAAATTGACTCTTCTGACTATACATTTGTTAGTTGACTCTGTGGAGTACATATTTTTTAATTAACTCTTCGGAGAGAAGAGAAGAGAAACATTTAATATTTTATTTAAAAAATCTTATTTTTTGCAGAAAACTGATTGATGAAGAAAATAATTAATTCACGACCTCAACGAAGATCTTAAAAAAATACTGCAAG